AGTATAGGTCATTATTGAGGCCTCTACATTAAACTTTCTTTGCTTCTGCTGATCCCCGGTCTGCTTGAGAGACCTCAAGATTTCGGAAGCTTGGGGGGGCGCATACCAAGTATTGTGCGGTTTAGTAGGGCTCCGGTTTCGGCGCTCTCGTAATCCTCCACTGCCAGCCCCATGTGCCAGCACGGAGGTCCAAGGCCCATCTTGGCGGAACCGATAACCACAGCATGAATGATCGCTAGCAGTCTCACCAACGACAGTGACGACAACGCCGTTTCTGCAACGCGGCTTGGGCCTTGGGTTGCCAGTGATGACGATGGTTGCGATAGAGTGTGTGGTGGATGAAAGAAGTATGTTGATCGTGATTCGTTGAAACTTGTAAAACTTAGAGGATACCGAAACAAACGTCGGCACTGTTGACGAAAGACGCTGGTCATGAGGATGATAACGCGGGAAGGACGAGCAGGAAAATGTTGATGAACAAGGAACGGTGAATGTGTCAACAAGTGCCTGGGCATTGATGGTTCGCAGTTGTGCTTGAGGAAGATGACCGTGATGATACCGTCAATGGTAGAAATCAAACAATCCTTGGAGGTCCGGCCCTGTATACCCGAAACCTTAACAAAGACTCTGAGTAAGGCGCAGTTCCGTTCGCTGCTCGAACAAGCTCCGTGGTGCAACCTCGGTGGATCCCCGGTCTGAAACAGGGGACCTTAATAACTAAAGTAACTCGGGTTTGGGGGTATTGTTGGTGATATAAATCCTGCATNNACTATGGGCATTATGGTATATCCCTTATTATGGGTAATGCAGGATTTATATCATCAACCGTATCTCATGCCAGGGTTACCATCCCAAAGGATCCATGTACCTTTATAGTAGATACTTAAGCCCTACAGTACCTATATAAAGACCCCGTAACTACTACAAAGGTACATGGAGCCTTTGGGCATGGGCCTGGGGGATTCTGTTGGTGATCATTCAGACCCCTGCGTTCCTCGGGCCTCGGCGGAAGTGTTCAGAGGTTATGACAGAAAGCCGCACTTCCCCTCTTTGCGGTATAGTGTTTAGGGTTTAGGGTTTGGGGTTTAGGGTTCATCCATGCCTTATCTGGTGTTATGATAAACGAGCCGCAATCTAGAGCGAGATGGGTACTTCTCCAAATCGGGGTGCCGTTCGAGGTCTGAACTGGACCCTAATTCAGAGACCTACCCATAAGGCCAAATTAGGGTCCCTGCTTAAGTCACAAAAACACTGCGGCACTCTCATAAACAAAAACTGAAAGGGACCCGGCTTCAGAGAACTACCCATATACTATCGCAGTACTCTTGCATGTGTGCTGCCTGTCTGCACGGTACAGGCGGATAAGGCATGTCGTTTAGCTGACTGGGCTTCTTCAAGCCGGTACCAACAAATTCGGGGGGCCTGATTACCGCGTGTTTTTTTGGCCGGCTAATGGCCGATCTTACAGCACCCGCGACCTAAATCCACCCTAAACCCTCGACCCCCCCCCCCAACCCTAGAACCTAAAACACCCGCCACACCCCAAAACCCCCAACCTGAACCTGAAGCCCGAAGCTCTCCCTAAACCTTAGACCTGACTACTGTACTACTACTGTACTGCTACTTTACTGCTACTGTACTACGACTGTACGGCCGGACCAATAGGACCGGACAGTACCAAGCCTCAGACTTGGTCGATTGTGGAGGGGAGTGTAGGCAGGAGGCCAAATGTCTTCGAAATGAACGGTTTTTAGTGTTGGTAAGGTTTTTAGTGTTGGTAATCATATTGGAGTGATCGGGGCTTGGTTTCGAGCTCTTGTGAATTATGATTTAGGGGGACCC